GCTTTTATATAATCAATTATGCAATTAGCAGATCGCGAGCAGATTTTACGACGAAATAATTAGGCGGCCGTTGATTACAAGGATATTTTAGCCGGCTGTTTTTATAGCTGGTTGCGCGCTATCATAACCTAATCACGGTGCCTCTTTCACGCCGGCCAGAACCTACTTCTTTGCACCGTTCGCAACGCTTCTGCGTTCCTATTATCTTCACCTCGCCGTTCCCTTCGTTTTCCGCGTTATCCTTCTCGGTCTGATAGCAGCTCTGGGTCGCGGAATCCCTGTCCTCCGGCATTTTCCGTCCACGCTTGCGGGAAAATATGAATGTTGCGGCAGAAGGCGGGAACGTGCGGTAATCGAGAAACAACGAAACAGCGAGGTTAGTGTTTCTCGCGAAGTTGCTCGCGTATCAGAATTTTGTCACTCGTGACGGACACCTGATTTATCGTAAAAATTCTCGCATCCGTTGATCAGTGTAATAAAGCTGTTTACGATCCTGACGTTAACTCTTGAAAATGTAATACAAAGAAACGCGAATCCATCAAAATTCCTTCTCTTAATTGATTCACTATTCTATCTTGAAAGCGTTTACGCAAACAGAGGCGTGGCCGTGATATTCCATAAATCTCCGCGTTCCTTCATTACCCCGGAAGTCATCAAGCTGTAGCGAGCAGAATTTTCAACAATACACAGTACTTTCTGAACCTATCTCTCTTTTTTTTTCGCTACTCTGATTTTTCTTTCTCTCATTCTCTATATGCTCTCTTTTCCTTTCTGTCTCTCCCTGTCTCTCCCTGTCTCTCCCTCTCTCTTCTCTCATTCTCTCTGTCTCTCCTCTCTTCTCTCGTTCCCTCTGTCTCTCCCTGCTCTCATTCTCTCAGTCTCTCCCTCTCTCTTCTCCCTCATCTCGCATCCTCTCGAACCACGGCGGAATAATCTAACCGTCCACGTTTAGCTTTCGTACGACTCGCGTGGTAAAGGCAAGAGATTCGTACGTACGCATGCACGGTGGTTGGTTTCGCGCGTCTGGGATCTAGGTTCCATCGGCTGGCATCGATGTTTGTTTTTTAATGTAGTCGCGACGCCTGGTCTTAATTAAGACGATCAGCGCGATCCCGGTGAATCGCGTGTAAAGTATTTGTATCCCTTAATTACGAGACTTGTTAGCGGGGGCGGCGTACGGATACTTTATTGCCCCGTAAAAGGCAAATAAAAGCTACAATGAGACTTAACTACGCTGGTAAACCGAGGAAGCTTAAGCTAATACAAGTAATTAGCGTGGAGTGACGTGGCCGCGGTTTCAGTGTACTAATCAGAGCGCTGCGAAAGATGCATAACGCAGTTTTACTCTACACACACACGCGCGCGCACACCTCTGATATCATACACACCTCTGCTTTACACCTGTACGTGCACATAATTGTTTCGCGTGTTCCCCAGTGTGGCCAAAAGTGCGCCGCGCTCGCTCGTCTGTAAACTCATAAATAATTATCTCGATATTCGTGAAACGATCTAGACCAGACACGAACAGTCTAATTAATTAGAATATAACAACACGGTGTTATAGAGTTCACGGTGAGCTCGCGATGGAATATAGCGGTAAAGTAATTCCAAACTAATTCTTCCCCTCCATCCCTCTCTATCTTTATTCAAAGATGACATACTGCTTCGGAACAAGTATCCTCGATCTGAGAAAAAAATCTTCACCTCCCATTACAGCCCGATAAATATTAAGAAGACCTGAGTCATTTCGTATTTGCAATTAACAAGTATTCCACGAATGCAACAATCTTCCATGCTTTATCCGCCTGGTAATCTCTTGTACAAACACACGTTTATCACTAACGATAGTGGTAACAGATAACGATGCTTTAACGATATGTCGACTACTTAGGGACTCGATCGAAGTTATTACTTCAATTAAGATTCACCCTACTAGAACTCGTCTTCTGTGGAACAATCTTATCTCGAGAACGTTCCAGGAACTCTAACCCTTTCTCTTGGTAACCATAGGGTCGCGAGTTCAGTCTGAAGTTCACTATGGAAACGAACGTCTAATTGTGAAAAGAAGGAAAAAAGAAGAACCTTGGGAATCGATCTTCCTCCACTGGGCGGAGTGTGTAGAAACTCTTTTGCAAATGCATTCTTGTTGCGTAGCTGTGCAAAAAAAAAAGAAGAAGAAGAAGCTACTGGTAGATTTCAATCGAGCAGAGAAGAAGCTACATCATCGTAACGTTCTCGACCACCATCGACGCGACCGTGGCCCGCGGAAGTTTCAGTGGAAACCCTTTAGCAGCGGTCAGACGTATCGTTCGCTCGAAGGTGCTTTGAACTCGGTTAGGATTTTTTTAGAGAAACGAAATTTCGTGCATAGTTTAGGTAGACTGGTATGCAAACGTCGCGGGTTTTCCTTCGTTCTCATGCGATATTAAAAAGGGATCGGTTAATTGAGACTATGCCGACGCGACGGGGGCTTCTTAATTAAGGAAATTTCAGATTCCCAGCTTTTGATTTGTTCCCCCATTCAGGATCGCTCTGCAATCACGTTTGTGTAATTAGACAATGTTGCTTCCTCTTCGGCGGAAGGAATAGCGGCGAATGATTGATCGGGATTCGTCTGTTAATGGGGAATTGAGGGGCGAGTTAATTGTGGTGAATTGTAATGCGTTTGGTAGTGGTATTCTCTATTTCTCTCAATCTTCTTCTATGGAGATTTCAGAGTATATGAAATATTTGGAATCTTTGTGAGTTTGGCGAGTTAAAGGGAGAGAAGATCGATCAATTTTGCAAGCAAATTGATCAGACTCTGATATAATGCACTAAAACTGCTAGAATTTTTTTAGAACTTCCTCTGTGGGGATTTGGAAGGCTACGAAATATCTGAAACCTTTCTGAAATGGAAAAAATTTTTAATGCAAATTGAGACTTGCTACTTTATTTTTTTTTCATTTTCTCTGTGAGGATTTAGAATTATTCGGTACGTTTGAAACCTTTCTAAATTGAAAGAAAATTAATTAACTTCACGTTGTTAGATTTGTTATCAGCTGAATACAGCATTTCGTTACAACATTATAGCGAAGAGTTCGATAGAAAGCACGATAGCAAAATATGAGTCAGTTTATCATTTATCATCTGCTGGTACTCAACCTACGAACGTCTAATGGAAAGATGTACAAGATATAAAAAGAAAAGAGTTATATAAAACGCGTGTTTCCCTATTTTGCATAAAATAAACATCACTTTCTTCTTCGTTAACCCTTTCATCGCTAAAACACCCGATGACATGCCCGTATTATAAAACACTTGTAAAACTCACGTTAAACGCGAACTTTAAATAGGACAAGAACACTGTTTTATTCCTAAAAAAAAAGAATTGACAAGTTGAAAGATATATTTGTCAGAGAGTACATTGAAATGCAGCAGAGAAAAATCAGCTCTGGTTCCGAAAGCTAGGTGTAAAAAATAAATTAAACTCGCGTGTGGTTCCGTATCGCCGAAAGGGTTAAACGCGAATTTTAAACAGGACAAGAAGAAGGGAAAATTTTCTCAGAAACGCTGTTTTATTCCTTTAAAAAATAAGAATGTACAAACTAAAAAATATATTCGTCGCAGAGTGTCCAAGTTCAGCAGAGAAAAATCTGGTCTGGTTCCGAAAGATAATGAAAAAAAAAAAGGTAAAAATGTATCGTCGACAGAAAATTGTCTCGAGCCGAAAGAATACTAATCGTTCGATTTCACCCTGGCGATTCCCCAAGATCGTTTCCAGACCGGATTTCTTTTCTCCGGTTTGCTCGATCGTTGCGGTATTGCGAAAAAGAAACGGCGAATCGCGTCGCGATCCGGCGCGGCGCGGCGGCGCAAATAAATCCGCGACACGCAGCGTGGTCCCCGCTGATGCATGATTTCATGGAATCGCGACGAGGGGCAGCGTGTGCGCGCGCGCGTGTGGGAAACTCGCCGGATGCATTATGTATTTATTGCTTTACTTACTTAGTTGGGAATTACTTTTGCCAGCGTAATGACTTTCAGGCAGCGCGCTATCTTAGGAATGCAATAGGCCTGATTTATCGCTCGGCCAGCGTTTTTCTCGGGCCAGTTTGTCGTTATCGGTGTACTTGTCGTCCTGTCGTCGTTCCATGCGTCTGTCTAGTGACCTCGAAACGTCGATGAAGAACGATCCAGCTCCAGGCCGCAAAGGCGATACCCCGGGAAAATCTTGATCTCGAACGGGAATCTTTCCTATCGAGGCCGGAATATCGCCTCTGGGACCTCGAATTTTTCATCTACCCTATGAATCATGCAACTGTTGTTCGGTTCGCGATTATTCGCGGACCTTAAGACGATTTCAGTTAAATTAGGGATATTCAGGTGCTCTGCGGAAGGTGGAGTAGTGGGTTTCGAGAGGATCGAGGAGCACCGAGAGTTTGAAGTATGACGGCGTCTTCAGTTTAGAATTATTCGCGGACCTTAAGATGATTTCAGTGAAGTTGGGGATACCGAGGTATTCTATGGAAGATGAAATAGTAAATTTCACAGTGGTGACATGGAGAAAATGGAGGTGTACCGAGAGTTCAAAGGTGAAGGAGTAAAATTACCTTCTCCGGGACCTTGATTAGCCATGCAGCTATTCTTCGGTTTAGAATTAATCACAGACCTTGAGAAAACCTCGAGAACCTTAAGACCTCGAAATTAGGGACATCGAGATATTTTATGCAAGGTGAAACGACAAATTTCACAATGGTGATACGGAGAAAATCGAGGAGTACCGAGTGTTCAAAGGTGAAGAAGTAAAATTACCCTCTCCGAGACCTCGAATTTTCAATCTCGTCGAAATTGAAAAATTGATTCCGAAAAAATGAAGAGAGAGAGAGGAACTTTGGCGACACTCCAGGAAGAATGGAAAAATACAAACGACGATAAAACACTGGAAATTCACGTGGAACCGTGTAAGCTGTAGTAAAATGGGAAGGGAAGGAAGGAAGAGCCGCGTGACTCGACGTTACACGAGGTTCAATACGCAACGATTAGGGAAGGAAGGAAAGGTGGGGAGAGGTATCCGCCTCGGCTGGATAATCGGGAAATTGAATAGGAGGAACGAATCTGGCATTAATGAACTAATTATTGCGAGGATACGATCGGTCGATGTCTGGAGTGCTTTCAGCGAGACGACGGCCGTGGAACACGGGCCAGTGAATCGCGCTCGCGAGGAATCGCACATATTTTTTCTCTCCTTTTCATGCAATAATTTCGCTAATTGCCTCCTGAGATAGACCGAGGCGGATGAGCATGTGAGCG